TATAGGATCCAATTGAATCTAATTGAATCCAATTGAATCCAAAAAAAGTATTCGCAGTTAAAGAAAAAATACGCATTCGGATAGAAAAAAATTTCAATCCATTTTAATCCATTCTCGTTTGCTGGGCAGAAATTTAATTACAATTAATAAGGCTGATTGACTGCGATTGATTCACTATAGATCGGCAGTCAGAATTGGCAGTCGAATATATATAATAATAACATATAATTATTTAATGATCTTTTAAATTAAAAATATTATAAATATAATTATAAGAATTTTCATACGCTATGACAGCAAAATGCTATTAATTTAATTAGTTAAAAATGTTTCGTAAAATGATGGACTTCCAATCACTTCACAAAAAATTGAATCACATAATATTTTATCTGTCATAAAATCACTAGATTATAAAGTACCGCAATTGATTTCAGAAATGTCGCGTAAAAATGGCCGAAGTGCACATAGTAGACAATTTGGAATACACCAGGATCTACATTGAGTCAATAAGGTGCACCATATATTTTCGAAACGATGAAAACATGCGATGATCACACGTGTGATATATTTCCTGAACAATTCTGAACTGTATTACTTACACGTATCCTTCGTGCACTTTTATGCACAAAACTTTTACAAATAAATCCGTAAACTACGTTAAACTAAAGAACACATAAATTGAGCATTCGTACATATTCTTTTGTTCATAAATAAACTAATTACAACTAAAAAACATTGATTTACATACTTGATGGCTTCATTTTCCCAAATAAAGCACGTAATACATGTACAAATTCGAAGTGCCCGCGTTTCGTCAAAATGGGTGCTAGTTTGCGGTACTTTATAGGTCAAATGACTTTAATCTGTCGCAGTGTGCTGCGCATGAAAAGTCAATTTTACCCGCCATAAATATCCATGAATACGTAGTTCTCTACTTGCACTTCGTGTAGAGAGTCTACAATCAGAATGACGCCATATCACGGGTATCACTTGTGATTGATCCGCTATGTTTTTCCCTCCAGTTTTTTAAATGCATTATTTTTAAATTTTGAATTCATGCTAAAAAATGCTCAAAAATTGTGACAAATTAAAAAATGATAATAAATAAATATTGTATATAAAATAATAAAACTTTTACATATATTATTTATTATAAAATTTCTAATATTAATATTGCACATTACTTTATACAAAATGTTATTTATTGCACATTATTTGCGCTATTAAATGCGCT